TAAAGAAAACTTTAGTGGTGCATAATATAACACAGCATATACTCACTTCTGTCCACATAAGAGTGGGTATATTATTTTACTGTAATAAAGAAGTAATCATCAGCCATTTCCCAGCCACTCATCAGTGAATCATTGTTTTTTTGTGTGTGTCCAACAGACACTTTAATATGTGGCCAATGTGGGCTACTGCTCATTTCCCACACTGGCACATACTCGTCTACTTTCGGTATGGGGCCTTTTTTTTTTCCAATATTTTCTTTGGCTTCCTTTACCAATTCTTTTTTAAAACATGTATTTTTGGGCATTTTGTGCCTTTATTGGAGAGATAGGACAGTGGATAGAGTCGGAAATCAGGGAGAAAGAGAGCAGGGAATGACATGTGGGAAAGGAGTCACAGGTCGGATTTGAACCTGGGCCGCCCCCGCTTGGAGGACTACAGCCTCTATACATGGGGCGCTTGTGGCTCGGGGGTTAGAGCTTCCTGTACCAAGTTAAAGGAAAAATAAATGCTACAGTTCATAGTGATATTTTTTGGCATCTGTGTGCTTTGAACTATTTGGGGAACATCTAATAGAAATGCTGCTGTGTAAAAAAAAAAAAAGGAAAAAAAAACTTCTTAAATTGATGCAGTTTTGCTGCATGAAGCCCTGAACTCTCTACCCATCTAAAATCTCACGTATGGAATCATCAACTGAGCCCCAGGCGTTATCACCAAACATTGACGACCCCAGTCTTATTGCTTCTGTGGCATATTTGGAACAAATCCCTGAACCAGGGTTCAAAAACCACATTCTTGGAAGCTTCCAAAGAAGAGTTGGGTCTGATTCTAGCAAAAATAATAATCCCCATGGTTTTTAAAATGAATTTTTCAACAGTGATCAAATACTATAGGGGTGCGACGGTTGCTATGTCCATACACTTCCTGCCACGCACTGTATTACATCAGTTCACTTGTCATCCTATTTTTCAGCTGTCACCGTGTAAGAATAAGACCGTTAATGAGGACAGCGGCTGTCCGCTTTAATGCTGTTGGGTGAAAAGTTGACTACTGAAGCAGCACATACATGCCCATCACAGCAGCCTGGGCTCAAACCAGGAACTTTTCCTTGAATAGTGATGACTCCAACTGAAATCTCCCTGCATATATAATCTCTGCTTGTCTGTATGAAAGTCCCAGGGAGGCCGTCTTCTTTACTGCTTTCTCTGAATCACATTCCCCTCTCCCCATCATGCTTGATGGAAACACAGAATGTGTATCAAACCGCCTGTGCTCGGAATAAATCTAGAAAGGCAACAACGAAAAGAATCAGCAGCAGAGATTGATAGCCTAGAAATACAAAATATAAAACAGGGAAAACAGCACTCATTCCACATCATCTTCTGGTTTATTTGGAGACAGGCGGCATTTATTATGTTGTTGTGGCTATAAAACTGTTGTCTCTAGTATCGGCGCACAAACACTGACTTGTCAAGGAACGGGCTTGAGCTAAATGACTGGCTCTATTGCACTTTTTGTCTTCTTATTCACAACCGTATGTTCAGTTTTAAGTCTGCATCCATGATTTATAAAGCCTGGGATGTATACAACGGAGACAAACAACATTTTTATGGCTCAGAAGCTCATCAGACTTCATCATCATTTTGTGTTGTTGATATTCACCAGCAACACGTAAACAAGCCGAGCGAGGAGAGGGAGAAAAAGAAAACGGCAAAGCAGTCACAGATTTAGATTAAACACGGAGCAGAAGCGTTGCAGTCATCTCTAGGCAACATGTGAATGCACAAGGCTGACATTATAAAAGCCAGCCTTCAGAAGTACAGCTCAGAAACTGCAAGCCAAGTGTGACTGCAGCCAGAATGTGACAGTAAACGCTCTGAACTCTGAAGACTCCTCCAATACCCCTCCTCTCCCCCTCTCTGGGTCTGAGCTGCTGCTGCTGGACCTCACATTCAGAGGATTAGGGAGGTATGATTAATATAAAACAGTTCAGCTAGGTTGGAGACATGTACCCGAGTTAGCGAAGGTCCCACCTGAATCAGTGCAGCAACAACAAATCAGGATAAAGCTAGTTTTTCAATTTGCAGGAGATGTGCAGTAAGGTGATGACTCAGCTTTTTTAAACATTATGGGCCAGACAGCGTTTGTCTTTGATGTTCTCTAAAGTATCTAAGAGACTCCAAGATGAATAACCAAATGGAGAAAAAAAATCATGGCAACAGAAGGAATAGATATATTTTTCTGACTGTTCTGCAAAATAAAAATGCAACTGAAAATCACTTTTTTGACCAAATACTCCAAATTACCAAAATACTAGACCTGTAGTCTGCAGTGTTTCCCCCAGGTTTACAGCTTTGGGGGGGGGGGAGGTGCGGGCAGACGGACGCCGACACAAACACTTGAAGGTATCTTGGTGTTCATGCGTTACTTTTAATGACAGCTGTCCTGTTCCGGAAAGGTATCCTAAATTACTTGATTTCCGACTCTATACACTATCCCATCTCTACAATAAAGGCAAAAAAAGCCCAAAAATTAAATCACTTTTTTTATTTTTTTTTAACTTGACCTTCAAGGGGGGCGGGGCCCTAATATAATGGTAACACTGGTCTGTGATGAGGGTCCCAAGAAATAAAATAAAAGGAACCAGTGATAAAGATCATCTTATATAGCAGATCAGGTTTGTGGTCTTGTTCAGTGAAATACATTTTTAATGTCTTTATTAGAGGTGGGGAAAAAATCAATTTATGTAAAAAGAAGACTCTTATCTTCTAAGTCTTAAAAGATTAATAACTTCCAAAAATCTATTTTTTTTTTTGGGGGGGGGGGGCTAATCAGTCACTCCCTGCTAAGTGCTAAGGTTAGCTCTTGAACTCAGTACAATGCCAAATGGAGCAGCAAGAAATTCCGGCAGTCTCACAGATGACTGGAGTAGATCCTGAAGTATGTACTAATTCAGAAAATAGACTTTGAATCATGAATCCAGAAACGTTTTGAATCGAAAACAGATTCTCAATCAAATCGTGACCCCCAAGAATCAAAATCTAATGTAATCTTGAGAAACCCAAAGATTCCCAGCCCTAGTCTTTATGACCCTTTGATACATTAAAGCTCCTGTAAGAAGTTTTTAGCTGGTTATGAAAAAGACTTGAAATGAATATAAATGCCTCTTAATGACCAAACAAAGCTAAGGAGGCCACCAGCTACAAGATTGATAAGTTCTCTGAAAGTTTTTTATGTGGGTTATTGCTGTCACAAGGTCTGTTGTTTACAAAGAATCACAGTGGGTGATACACTTTACTCAGATGGTAGGACAGGATTTTTCATGAGAAAACACTACTTACTGACAAAGTCCACATCGACCGCCAAAAGCAAAACTAAACAAAAGTCGTAGTAGCAGCTTGCAATAAGGTTTTGGGATTTTAACAACTCAATGTCATTTATGAGTCTTCCCTTCTCAAATATCAAACAGACTTTGAACTAAATGTGTTCGGTTTATTTTATTAGCACCATGTTTAAGCCAACAGTGACATTAACCTTCGATTCTCAACCACACAAATCTCATCAGTTCATTCTCGAGTCCAAATGAACTTTTAGGTGATTGTTCTGAGTGCATTGTCTCTTGTTGTTCCTGAGAGCTTACATGAATGGAACTTCCTGATATACCGATAGACTGACAGACTGACAGAAGGATGGATGGACGTAAATGAACTGACATATAACCTGGAAACATGATGCCCCCGATCTGGCCTGTTGAGGGAACGAGACATAAACATAGGTAACAGCTGTTTATGGTATGACTAATATCAAAGAATCTGTATTAGCTTTAGGTGGAGCAGTTTGTAACGTTACTTGTGAATCAAAAATGAATCAATCTTGTTTTTTAACCACTAAATTTGCAACAATCCCTCTGAGTGTAGCTGATAGTTAGCTTGAGTTGAATCTGACTTCATGATAATGGCGTGAGAGCGTGTAATTTACACACGAGTGAGAATGCAGAGATAGATTTTCCTTCTTTACTGCTTTAAAGTCAGACTTTTGCCACGTGTTTCTCGCAAAAAGCTCCGTATTGCACCAGTGATAAAATAGTGATTTATTATGCAGCCCTAAATATAATAATTGCTGAATCGAAGCCAACACCAATGCCTTTAGTTCCACTTGTGCTTTTCCTGCTATGACACGTCTGGTGTGAAAAAAATGACTCTGAATGGGACACGGCCACCTCGATGTAAGTGAGGCTACACAGATCAGCTCAGTGGAGTCAAACAGTTGAATATGAGACAGTGGGGGAAGGAATCCACCTGCTGTTTATCGAGCAAACACTTTAATCACACCTCAAATGCAAAGCAGCAAATTACCTCAGGTTTACTGTAATGGTAGTAAATAGCCTGTTTTCTTTTGGCAAAAAAAAAAAGATCCTACCTCTGAACATATGGTGACCCATAAAGCAACACAGAAAGTTAATGATCCTTAAGTACTAGATGATAAAAAGGTAAAAAACAAATCTGATTCTAACCACGCAGGTGCAATTACAGAGTACCGTTTTATAATATAATATAATATAAAGAAAGGCTTTGCTGGGATTTTTAATTTTTAATTTCAACAATTTACGGAACCAATGCAACATGTGAACAATGGCATTTCATTTCAGGTAATTTATCATGATATTTAAAGTGTTACAAGATTATCTGGTATTGTTACAATCTAAAAAATGCACAATTACAAGAGTGAAACAGTGTATTACCAATACTTTTAAAACAAGGGCACACTGTAAAAGACGCACAGTTCATAAATGATTGGACACACAGCAGCTGCTCTTACTGTCCAGTTACACTGAACAGTACAGCTACACACACACACACACACACACACACACACACACACACACACACACACACACACGATCCCTGCAATATCACAACAAACAATTCACATCCTTTCTAACAGACCAAAGAGGACAGTGTTTAGCGCTAAAGACACAACACAAACGCCGGTGTTAACATACCTATACGCTGTCCGATACCTTCACGCCGTCAGCAGCATCCTTCAGGGCGCAGACATCTTGGATTACTGAACATTACGCGCGTCGTTTGTTGTCGTTTTCCACAGTGCTGCCACCTGCTGGTGTGGAGGAGCAGCTGCAGGACCCGGGGAGACAATGTGAGCCGAGGTCTGGCTCAAGGACGTTTTGGCATGGAGTGTGACATTCACACATTTAATCTCTCAGAGTAATTAGATGCACTAACATGTAGCTCTTTATTCAGTTACATTACTTTAATTGTTGCTTCGTATTTTATGATTTTAAAGATTAGGTACAATTTTCAGTGGGTTTAAAAACCTTAGAAAACACACATCAAATGACAGTTTTTAACCTTTGTTGTGTCTTTTAAAAGTCATTTGTGGCCAATAGAGCGATTTATCAGCCAATACAGTCTAGGATCTCCATGTTCTAATGAAGTTATGAGAGGGAAGCTCATGGACCTTGTGATGTTTTTAACATGTTAATTATCAGTTTAAGAATCTGTTTTGACACTGAAATTTAAAGGGTTAGTCCGACATATATGCCCGTGAACCAGCTTCAGCTCTGTTTCTGAGGTTATTAAATACCAGTCATTTGTTTGTAATATTGTTAAAAATCCATCGTGAGTATGTCATCTTGTACTCATTGTCAACAAGTATCACCTCTTGCTCCTCTCTGCTTATAGGATCAAATAAGTTCAACAAGTGTCCAACAAATTAAAGTGTTGGCTTTAGTACGATGTTAGCTCCAGGGAACAAACAATACAATCATGTTAGTGTGCTGAAGGATAATCTCCCCACCTGTGACCTGGACCAAAATACTAATTGCAAATAATTGTGTTGCACTTCCCTTATGAAAGTTGTGAGCATCAGAAACAGCACTTCACAGGGTTATGGGAACTTGGCCAAAGTTTAAGGATATATTTCTTATGTGGAGCAAAAAACCAGAGAAATGCTTATTTATTCATTTGCAAACGTATTTGTTTGAAGCATATTGCATTAACAAAATTGAAGGTGCTTGTGTATTACCAAAATCTTGAGTATTTTTACTAAAGTATTTATTTATTTAAAGCATCTCAAATGTATTCCTACAGGATTTCCTTGGAGGGAAACTTGTTTAGTTTTCCTTAAATATTGCTTTACAGCAAAAAAAAGGAAAAATCTGCTGGTATCAGCAACCTAAATATATTTACTGCCTTAATCAATGTATTTAGTTTTGACGATCTCAATTCCCTCAAGAACTTGAAGCAAGAATTATTTACAGAAAAGTTTATTAAAATATTTTATACCGATAAATAAAAACACGTTAGTTACATGAACACCATTTCAACTTTCTTTTGAACGTTGTACCATCAGTTTAAAAAGATAAGTCATTGTGAGATATTCAATGATACAAAACTTCAGGCATTATTAAACAATTTACAAACCACTCACAATACAGAAGTGCTCAAAGTGACACCAAATGTTTAAGAGAATTTACATTTGTTTACCCTAAAATGTGAAGGGTGACATTCAAATTTGGGTTTAATAATAACACAAAAACTGGCACTCAAAAGATTTTTCTCATTTCACACAGATGAGTCAGGGTTCATCACTTACAGATTCAGTTGAACTCTAAAATACAATTTAAAAAAAACAATGTTCACAGTATGCTGAAGGTAAAAATCCCAGAAATGTATGTGTGACATTGATACAATAATTGTCACAAATATTTTAAGGCGATTTAAGATTTTTCATAAATAATTGAATATTCTAAAATGTCAGTAAAAAGTACCATTAAAAACACGATCATGGATTCACAGGTCAGCTGGTTGGGTTGGTTATTTTCTGTAGGGCCACAGCGCTCACATTTAGGGAATGCTCGTTTGGGAAAAATTCCCTCAACAGGAACGACAAGAGCATCTGTAACATCACATAAGGAAGCAAAATCAAGATCAGATTTGAATTTTATATCATGTCACATGAAAAATTAGATACAAGAACACTAAGTTATAGCTGAGGTACTCACAAAAACAAGTGTTTTGTTTTCTTCACACTCCTGGAAGAGATTAAAAACTGACTCCATGTCCGTTTTCTTCAGGACGAGATAGTTTGAATCTACAAACAGGAAAAAAACAATTGAGATATGATATACATGTCAGATTTTTTTTTTTTAATTATAGAAAAGGTGTCACCCACATCTGGCGTTGAAGAGGTTATGGGCTCTTTCTCTGGTCTCGTTCTTCTCGTCCTCGGTGCGGGGAGGAGAGGGCGTTGTTGGCTGACAGTCTGGCCACTGTTTGTCACGCAGAGTGTCAATGTACGAGGCCATCTGCTGCTCTGTTGGGTTCATCTTGTTCAGGAAAGAGTTCACTTTCCTGGAGAAGAATACCAAACAACCACAAATTATCCTCAGACAAGGAGCCATAGTCCAGAAAATCAGTAAAGGTCTGAAGTCGGAAACTACCTTACTTTTTCAAGATGGGCATAACGGGTTTCAAAATGGCGTCAAATATGTTTATGAGGATGGAGTTGCCTGTTAAGACAGACGAGATGATTAGCACTCTCGTTGAGGAGCAAATTAACTGTTCTGCATGGTTACAAACAGGAGGCACTAAGGTGCACAAAAACATAAGAAAATATTTAATACAACCAAAAATAGACTGAAAGAAAAACAGAAAAGAAAAACACCAACTTGTGAGAACATTGGTAGGTTCATGCTAAATGTTAACCAGCAACGTGTTAGATCTGTTTGAAATTCAGAACAAATAGGATTTGTCTGTTGAAGTTTGTAACCACAACATGTGGAGTTGTCTCATCTTCGACGCATGCTTATAAAGGTGGCACATTGACCCCCACGCTTTTATAAATTCCCCTCCTCACACCCGGCACGCTGTTATCTGCTGGAGGAAACACACCCTCAGCCCAAAGGTTAACAAGCGAAAATCTCAAAAACACAACAGAATGCAAAAGCAAAGGAAGAGGTCAGGGTCACTGCACACCCTCTAATGGGAATGGATGTTTTCTACTGCATCAATTGTAAACAATCTTTCTTCTCTCCTCCGAGGCAAATTTGTTTTCCGGATGAATAAATTGACTTAAATCTGACTTGACTCGGCTATTTGGCATCATTAGAGACATTTAAATCAAGTGTTAAAAAACATTGGTAAATGGAGCTTTAAAATGACCTCCATTAAAATTCTTACCAGCCGTTTGGATTTTTAATTCCTCTTTTTATAAATTTCATTGAGCCCCTGGGTTAAACCCAATAACTTAGTAATACTTTTTCCTGATGAAGCTTCTTGAATGTGTTTACTAAGCCAAACATGTTCAATTACCTTTGTCTTGGTATTTCCTACGTACATGTTAAGGCCATATAAACAAACCTTAATGTTTACATTTCACTGCACACCTGTATGAGCATGTGACAATCTAATGTGCACAAATGTACTTTACAACTGTGTTTTCCTCCACATTATTGTCAATCTTCAGGTTTCATGTTTACTGATCAGCCTGCAGTTTGTATGACTTGTTAAAAGAGTCCATAATTGAAAAAGATTTGACATACCGCTGCGATATGATTAATAAAGCAGCCACAAGTTTTCACTGTAAAGGTTAAGCTTTGTGAGGAAAGTTTTCAATCCTCTTCAGGCTGAATTTGTTCTACGCATCATGAATCAATCTCGCAGTGTGCTTTAAAAACGTTGGCAGTAATGTACAACAGATATCCAAAACCACTGGTATGATACTGAGGTTCTGAATGCTGTAAATAATCCCTGCTTGAGTGTGAATGCGCAACAAACCAGAGATTTCTTTCATCAGATCAAATATGGCTTTGGTCGCCTCCAGCTGCTCCCAGTTTGTTGGCTCTTCTGACACTGCGGGTCTTCCTCTCTTGGCAAAGTGCCCTGATCTTTCCCTTTAGCTTTGTTAACTCCACCAGACATCTTGAAACAAATTTTCTCCTTTTTGTTTGACTTTGCACTGAAATAATGTCGCGATGAGGCCTCTGAGCTCTCCCCCTGCAGGACTACGTTCTGGCTGCAGCGCGGAGTAGAGTCTGAATCACGAGGGTCATCATCTTCTGTGCTTTTTGTTGAGACCAAAGACTCTTGTGACCTGGAACGGGCCAGTCCTTTGAAAATCATTTTAAAGTGAGAGGTTAAAGGGTTATTGGAGTCCTCAGATTTGTCTCGGGGAGAGTTTTCATTTGTGGACTGTGGCTCCGTTTCTGTTTCTGCTTCCCGGGGTGGCTCTGGAAAAGGATCAAACTGGGAGATAACAATAGTTGGGATTGTAGCAGCAGGAGGATCGGGGCTTTTTCCAGCAGAAACACCAGAGAGGTTTTCTGAAGGCAGAGCTGTGGATGCTGAATGTACAGACTGAGATGTGATTCCTTTTGGAGCTTCTGTCTGAGGGCTCGAGTTCTGCAAAGGAAAAAAAAAAGAAAGGTTGTGACAGATCATGAGTTCCTGGTGCCTTAGTGGTACACAGTGACAGACACCAGCAACTACACAAAACCTTTATTCTGTTCATTTAGTCTCCCATCATTTTAGTCTGCGACAGAAACCCTGATGACCAATTAGTGACATCAGCTTGAAGCGTTCACATTTTAAACAGAGAGCCTTTGTTAAAAACAGGTCATGCACAATGTAAAAGATGTGAACTTTCACCCAGCCATTAGATCTAATCAATGATGATCATATTAAATTTGCATTGTGGGAAATGTAAGATCCCTGTTTTTTGGGGCTTGACTCAAGAGCTTAAAACTTGGCAGTTATATCCATGGCTTCTGTCTTTGTGTTCAGAATAATCAATCAAACAGAAGGGACTGCTGAGATCTGGGAAAATGGAAATCATACACTTACAAACTCCAACAGGGAGCAACCTGCAAGTATGGAAAGTGGATTTGTTCATTTTTTCCTTCTTCCTATTGCTGTCCATCTTATGCCACATTCACAATTTCTTTTAATCATATAAACATAATTTAATGATGTCAACTTGAGTTTCGCTAATTTGAATGAAAGGAAAAAGGGAGATGGAAAATTAGTTTTCCAGGGACAAGTTGACTACATGCCAACAGTTTATTCAAATATTAATAAACCACATTACATTACAGTTCTTTCTTACAAGTAATTTAGTAAAACTCTGCATGAGTTGTTTACTTGATATATGTACAATATTTCTTTGACTGATCTGAATAAAAGCCAAATGTACTGAAGTTAGATCCTGGATATTGATGTAGATTTGGAGAAACTTTACCTCTTCTTCCTCCTGACCAGGAGTAAGGAAGTAAGCCAAGCCGCTGAGCAGGCCCCACACGCCTCCATAATGTTCCTCCTCATTCAGCAGTTTTTCAAGAGGGCACAGGAACTGAAAAACTGGCTGAGTGTGGCCGATCAGATTATCAGATACTAATTCCTGAAAAAGAAAATACAAATCATTGAGTCATCAAGATTTGAAAATACCTTTTAAGTTTCTGACTGGGTTTTGTTAATGTCTTTCACCTGCAGGAAGTGCTCCACTGACGCTCGGGCTTCTTCTTTGATCTCATCGTTTACAACCAACTTCTCCAGCACGAGGATGGAGGGCAGGCTGGTTGAGTCCTGAAAACGAAAGAGAAGTTTGTGGTTTATGACAAGAGAGCTTTAAGATTAACACTACTTGGACCAACCCACTGTCTCTGCTGTCTGTTACAATTACGTTGTGTGGGTCACATAAGTTGAATTCCAGACCTGTGAGACAGAGGTTGTGGTTTGTTTTCTCAAAACAACGCTTTCCTTATCCATCGAACTCATGCAGAAAAGACAGTAAACAATGGTTCACTCAGGACAAAATGAAAAATCCAGACAAACAGGAGATATTCTTTCCTTAAAAAACAGTTTGTTCAACTGAGGGAAATATTAACCTTGAAATCTCTGAGTGGAAAACCCCCTATGCTTCCTAAAAGGTAGAGGCAGACTGAACCAAGGGGTGTAACACTGAAGTGTTTTATGACAATAACTAGAAGGATTCCAGTATTATGACATGATCTCTCTTTGATCTTGTAAACAGAAACAGAGAAAGCAACAGAAATGCGGTCAATGATTCAAATGCTTTAAATTCATTAAGAATCAGTATTCCTCCTGTTTCAAATAAAGCTGATGCAAGCTTCATGCTGTTCTTCTCAGATCATAAAATGTTTGAAATAAAAGCAGGCATTTCAAAACTGGTCGGCAGCAGAGATATGTTAGTATGCACAGAGCCTGTTTTGATTACTTAATGCAATAGTATATAGAAGAAAATTAAAATTAATTTGATTTTACTTGCAGTATGCAAACATTTCATTCAGGGTCTTTTAAACAAAAAGGATTGTGCAGCTTTTGCATACAAAACCTGTGTAAATGAGACTAAAGGACAACTTCCAATTCAAAGCACACACAGAGGTTTAAATGCACCTCTAAATGGCTACAGAGCAAATAGCATCTCGGTGCACAGGTGATGTTTGTACATATTAATACGAGACATTTATTTATGGTAAAATTGGCCTCTTCCATTGGAAATGAACCTTGTTGCAAAAGATGTCCAATTCACAGACCACAGCGCTAATAGCCATAAACAGTTGGGATATATACCCCAGTATTTATAAGAGATGTCACACGCAAACCTCACAGTGAACAAGACAACAATTTAACTTCTGTACGACCTATAAACAAAATGTCAAAATGTACGACCTATAAACAAAATGAACTTAGACCCCTGCACACACACGCACACACTTTGTCCACATGTGTAGAAAGGTCTTGGTCATTACGCAGTATGGGTGTGTGTTGTTTTTTTTTTTCTTCATCTGGATAAGCTGCTCTTGCTGTCTCGGTGCAGGGAGGAATCTTTGTTATAAATAGTGAGAGATGAATCAAAGCTGTGAGGCCTCAATAAACTAGAAAAAGAGTCCTTTCCCCATCCAGCTCATCATCTGTATGTGGACAGAATTGACCTTCATCAGTAAGAGCACAGCACAGCTCTATGCAGCAGAGGGAAGAGATCCTGACAGATCAACTCCACGATAGGAACAAACTGAAAAGAGTACCACAATCGTATAGGCAGATTGTGAGCTTGAATATCATTAGCCCAATATGCTTTGTGAATTGAACCTTGAAGTGGAGCAGATAGTAGGCACAATTGATAGAAAAGCTTGTGACTGCTAATAGCTCCATGAATTGCCAAAATGAATTCCACCCTCAGTTTGTAGTTTATCATTAATTACATCAAGCCTCAAATTAACGCATTCTAATATGAGAATCGTGCTGTTAATCCGACCTTCATAAAAAGGTTCATATGTTCAATTTTATGTCATCAAAAGGTGTTTCTGTGGATGCATTTTGACTTTCATATTTAAAATATGTTCTGTCTGATTGGTAGAAAGCCTCCCAAAGTTTCATGTTGTTTTAACATCTTCAATAGGTATATAAACTCTGAAAACATGTCTTTCCATCTGCCTTTTACCTGCCATCTGTTGCGGAAGTAGATCACATCCATGTAGGTCTTCTTAATGTCCCACTGCAGGTTCTCAGGGCTGTCTTTTTCCTCCAGATGAACCTTGAAGTTCAGCTCCTCAGCCTCCCAGTCCGCCTGCAACACAGTTCAACCCTCCTCAACCGTCCAGCTCAAACATTAACATACCATCCAAGGACAAGCTTTTACGGAGCCTTTCAGACTGATAACAAGCAGGCAGGACATTCCACACCGTCATGTTATTTATGACTCACATGAAGGATGCTGACAGCCCAGCGGCCCACGCGCCACATCTCGTACGACAGCTTGAATTCCATCATGTCCTCCTGGACACTCGTCAGGTAGGTCTCCAGATCGCTGTCCTCCTAAAAAGCAACTATCAATCTGTCATGTTTCACAAGTTGTCCTCTTCGGTTTATTGTGTCATCAGGCGCAGACTCACCCTGTCAGAGTCCTGCTGGCTGTTGACGGAGCCCTCCCTGCTGCTGACATCATCCTCGTTGGACATCTCACATTGGTTCGCCATGATCCTCATCACCAGCTGTTGCTCCATCTTCTTCATCTTCTTCTTCTTTGCTTTCTTGGACTTCACCTTGTCCACAAACTTTGACCATCCTTCTTTCAGCTTGTTCCCTGAACACGACATCCAGAGATTAAAATCGTATTCTTTTCTTGTACTGATTCTTCTTAATATAGTGGCACTAAAAAAAAACACTTTGCATTTCTGATATACTGGACTCTATACGCAGTAAAAATCAATGCACTCTTAATTGATTTTGTAGGTGTTTGAGCCACATAGTGTTTCAGAATTCAGTGAGAAAAAAATCCCTAGGTATAATCCACATATTAGGCATCTGTTTGGCATTCATCTTGCCTCAGTTTAAGTAGCTGTCTGAATGAACAAATAAAAGAAAGTATGGATTGATACTACTCTGAAAGGCATACTGATAATGTCAGATAGCTGTAAACTCATTTCTTACATAACATCTTGTTCAACAGTTTGATAAATAGCAAACGCTTTCATTCTCTTTACGCCCACAAACTGCACCATCTGTCTCTCAAGGATCTATCAGCCTCATCTGAAATGTTGTCTCACTCAAAGCTGACAAACAAACACTCTGTGTATGATGTGTTCATTCAAAAAGGTAAAAGGGCCGCAGAGCTTTGGATTAAATAAGACTTACATTTCATCTAACACAAAACACACCTTTTTTCTCTGCCTTGATTTCGATGCTGGTTGACAACCCAGCTCCCTGCAAGCTCCTAGAAATAAAATAAACACCAAAACCACAAGGTCAGTTCTCATATAAAACACAAAGGGTGACTTTTATATAGTTGTTTTTTTAGGATTAGTACAGCTCGGCTAAATCAGCCGGGTGCCACCGTTGACACCCACTCACACTTCACTGCCCTCTGCTTCACCCTCCTGTGAAGCCGAAGAGGTCAGATCAGGGTCTGATCCACACAGCTCCTCATCAGAGCCTTTGGGAGTCACGCTGTCAAGCTGGCTCACCACCAGCTGGTTCAGGTTGTCGGGATCAGACAGCCATGTCACCAACAGACCCAACCCTGTGGAAAAAAAAACAGCAAATACACTTTACCTACAAAGACGTAAACACACACCAAAAGGAGGCACAAAATGCATATTTTACATGATGACTGCTCCTAATACACCAGCTGAAAGCTATAATAGCTTCAAATATATTTTAAAAAGGAAGAGTTTTAACGTTTTCTGCTTCATACTAATTTGCTCTCTCAACATTTAGCAACAGCTGCTGTTCAGTCTGGCTCACAATTAAGACTGGAAACACTTAACTTGTCTCTGAACAAAAGAAGCAATATTCTTCTGCCAGCCCCTCCAAAGTCTCTAATTAACACATCATAGCATGTTTGTTTTATCTGTACAAGAACCCAAATGTTTCCTACAACATTTTGAATCACTCAAAAAAGATTTGGAGGAGACATAAATGTTGTCAAAATGTACTCTTTGATACAATATTGATATTTTAATCATAGATAGTGTTGAAAAGTACAACAGCTTAAAAAACCTTCACAACTTCAGATTTTTAAGCCCAACATGAGAGAAAGCAGTGGTGGTCCATTCAAATTAACGGGTCAACATTACTCAAATATGAACATTTCCTAAAGTCCTTTTGGTGTCTCATTAAGATACATTCATGTCTCTTACAAACAGACAGACAGCAGAATTTTCTAAATTTCACAACTACATTTGTGCAATTTAGACAGTGTGCAGGAGCTTGACTGAATATTTTCTGTAATTAGAAACAAGAAATACTAAACATTGAGTGTCTAGGACTTCTATTTTGGTTGCTGCAGTATAGTAACAGTTAATAATATTGTTAGACGTTGAATTGGTACCGTATTGCAACTTCCTTTGTATACTATCATATTCATTTTGCATGTCAGCCCCTTTATTTTGACTTTTGAGAAAAAGTGGTAAAAATGTTTAATGAAAAATCAAAGTAACTGTGTTCATCAATATGGAAAGCTATGCATACAAATAATCACAATATTGGGCAAAAAAAGGATAATCATCATTTTACTTGCAAAGCCCTGTATAATTCAAGATTAAGAGAAAATGTGGACATGCATATCACGTTTTAACTACAGCTGTTAAAGTAACAGATTTTAACAGGGCTCAAGCATAATAGTAAAAATCTACTGCTCAGCAGGACTCCCACGTGATGAGACATTTTATCTGTTACTAAAAAAAGCCGAAACCCTGAAGGGAATTGGGAAATCAGCGTGGAAAGCTCCTCTCAGTTTTGTGGCCCAAATTCATGTCTTAAGCTCCATAATGCCAGTGACAATAAGGGATTACATACAATACACACTTGTAAAGAAGGAGTCCTTGGAAGCTTCACACTTATGTAAGACTGTATTCCTGCAGAGAGAAAGAATTTAATGCTCCCTTACCCTTTATTGCAACGATCTCATTTAAGGCACAGCGGTTGACTTCTTGGCTCCAGAGAGATTTGGGGAAAAGGTTACGTACCAGAGCGTCAGAAAACTCTCTGAGGACTGCGATCTCGTCTGAGCTGGACATGAACAAGAGCTGTCTGAAACAGAAACAAATAATGTATCATTTGTATTGTTTTCACTGTTTTGTTTTGTTGTTATTCTTAGTTAAGTTATTCTTTGAGTATTCAGAAAAGCACTATACAAGTCCAATGTTTTATTACTAATATTATTATAACTGCATAAATCTTATAGTCCTATAATCAAAACCTTCAACCTGATGGGCTGTAAAACTCTTGGGACACCGTTTTCACAAGAAAACAACCATCACCATGTGATTTGAGGCTCTTACTTGTTAACATGAGGTGAATTATTGATAGGTGATAAAAAATATGAAGCACTTTTACAGAGTTTAGACCCATCACGGTGTGACCAAAGTAGCATGAATTCTCTTTATAAAGAGAAAAGAGGTGTAAAGTCTCACCTATCAGACTGCTTGGCATTATGCAAGTGCTGGGTCAGAATCCGAATGGAGCCCACCACAGCCTGGCAAACATCAAAGTCTTTGGCTCGCTCAATGATCCGGTCGATTACAAAGTCGACTTCCCTGCTGAGCACCTGGTGCAGAGGCTGGCGCTCCAGCGGCTCAGGAACGCTGTACCAAGGCAGGACCAGCTGAGCGTAGGCACACTCAAACACTGAGGAGACAAGTCACAAAGGAAATTTCACTTAACACCAATCTCCCACGCTCACAGAACCGCCTGAACATCAAACTGGAGGAGAGCAGAGGATTTTTTTAAAAAAAAGCTTGTTTTGATGAATTCCTGTTCAACCTTTTTTTAACTGTAAAACTCAGCCCAAACATCTGTTACAGGATTTCCCTCTGAACACGAGGGTTTATTCATTGGTAACACTGAATAGGTTTTATTTACAGCAACAAACTTTCATTTATTTATCAGGTAAACGGGAAATAAGTACTATATCTATAGGTATGTATCACATTTTTTATGCTGCATTTTCTGTATTAATAGCTTAACAAGATTTTGCAACAAATTTCAAAATAGTTCCACTACAATTTTCTGAGTGATTCTAGCTTAGTATTTGTACTTGTTGCATAGGAGTCTGTACAGTATTTTGGGTTTCCTGCAGCTTTAAATTTTATTAAATTGACTAAATGGAAAGCCAGACTTATAACCGAGTTGTACTAAATAATAATGATACCATGCATGTGGTGTAAAAAAACTATTTAAAAAGGTGTGAAATGAGGGCAAAAAAATTAATGTGGGTGGAAAGTCATGCTGGAGTAGATGTGGTTTGCAGCTCATGCGTTTGAATACAACAGCTATATTAAAGACTGGCAAAGGAAGCAATACCAAGGTCAACAAGTTTATTTGCGCTTTACTGAAGTTAGAATGTTCTTTATTTTGTTGAGGCCTGTCTTTGAACTGTAGATATGTGAATGTTAGCCTGTAATACACGCTGGCTGATAAGCGATTTTCCTGCTCTTATTATCTGACATAGAGGAACTGAAACCAGACCTTACTTCCTGTTTAACACATGACAGACATCTATCTTTTTGAGAGGGTGTGTTTTTCATTTTTTTCTCATTTTCCCCTCACACTCCTCCTCACTTCATGTAACTTGATCTCCAGCTGCAGCTGTGTCTATGCAAAACTGTTCTTTCCAACTGTGTGGAGACAAAACACAGCCATGGTTTGTTGAAAAAACACCCTGCAGTCAAGAGCAGAACCTTGATTTTAAACACATCTGCTTACAGGTGGTTCAACCTGCAGAGACAAACATGTTTACACCCCTTTAAAAGTATTTTGTTTATTGAGTAAAAAAAATGCCTCACCTTGCTGTAGAGACCTCTTAACATTTGGATACTTGGACTCTGTTTGTTCGCCCTGCTGCTCGCTGCTTTCTCCATCAGTCAAATCTGAAAACAACTCTTCTTTGACTGTTTCCTGGAAAACAAGTGACAACAACCGGGGTTTGATAAGACTCTCAACGTAGAGGAACATGGGTAAGGGTTTAAGCAGTAGTGGTGAACTTTAGGTTCCTTTGAGCTATGTGATGAGTGAAAACAAGTTTGTCAAAGCCCTCAGGCTACAAGTTATAATACTTAAAAACTTTGACGTTTGACCTTCGGAGAACAACACAGAGAACCTGATCGCTACTTTGTGGCTTATATTGTGTCATTTTAGTCGGATACAACCATGAAACTCTGGATTTCTCAATAAATGAAGGCTGTGCATGTGAAGTGTACCTCTCCATAGTGTGCCAAAGCCAAGGAAGTGCACAGTGCCTGAGCAGGGCGGAATGAGGACCGTTTCAAGTGATAAAATATTATCTCAGATGGATCCCACGCTCACACTATTAATATTTAACTCAATTAAACATGACTCAGTGCTGGTAAAGAACCCGTGGCATACTCTTAGCAACTCTTTCCTGCACACAGAAGACAAACTTGCGAGGCAACAGGTAAATGTAACGCCTTTCAATAGGCCTACCTGCGGCGTGTTTTCGTTTGCCTCTTCATCAGTTTGAGTGCTGCTCTCTCGCCCACCGTTCCCGAATAACACCGGTGTAGTCAAACAAAAGACGACGCACAGACAGTACTGTGTTACCGCGCGGCCACAGTCTGAAAAATACCACACCAAGCCGAGTGTTATGGCGACTGAGAGGCGCCATAAATACATCTTTTTTTTTTTCTTTCTTACAACAACGCGCTCTTTTTGCTCTTGTCTCTCACTTTGAGACGATGCGTGTTGCTCATGCTCGGTCCGCACTGGTTCTTCCACATCTTCAGCACCGAGATGAAAATGCCGTTTCCTCGAAAAAACGAAGTGAACCGGCGAAAAAAACCAAAACTTTATTGAGCCAGTGGAAAAGGAGCTGTGATTGGCTGCAGGCAGCCCGCGCGAGCCTGCTACTGATTGTGGCACAAGGCCATCTACAGGTGAGAGCTTTACCTGACAGCATCTATCTATCTCTCTCTCTCTCTATCTATCTGGTTTAGTCTCTATAGTATAAATAATAATAAATAATGACTATTTTCATTTTTGAATCTCAAAGTAAAGTCAGTCAAAACAAATGTAACGCATGTAATGTAATGTAATTTAGTGGCATTGAGTATGATATTGGACTTGAAATGTAGTGGGGTAAAACTATGAAGACAATAAAAGGTAAAGTAACGCACAATAGGCTTGATAACATTAAATTGAGTGTTTGAGTAAAAAGTAGTGAATTACTTTCCACTCCAGGCTCTGTGGATTTATGGGCTAACTGTGTACAGAAGTGTTCTTGTCTTTCTTCCACTGTGAATCACAAAACACTGTTAAGTTATGAATGGCATGAAGTCGTCGGCCTACTGAAATCAATTTTTAACGAGAACAGGCACGATTGCATTTTTTTTGGTCAGGCTTTGTGAACATATTGAGAATTCTCCTGGCTGTAGATTTATTTTTCATCACAGCTCATACAGCAAATCCTGCAGAAGTCTGTTACTCAACCATACCCTTTACCTCCAGTGTGTTTAATGTTTTGTGAGAATGAAAGTGAAGTGTAAGCGTTCCTTATTTCCTAATATTCAAATGTTTTCCACTGACTTTAAATGAATTAGTTATTTTTCTTTACAGGATACAGAAGTTAAACATCTTTAGATTACAGGAGTCAACTGTTCACATTCTGTTTTCTTCAGCAAATAAGCACTTCGATTTGCATTCAACGAGTGGAAAAGACATATTTTCCTGTAACTGCCATGAAACAGTGCTATAAACAATAACCAAAACCCAAACTAAAAAATGTTACAGCATTAATCCAAACAAAACAATGGATAGTGCATTCAAACGAATGTACTAAGGGAACATAAAATAGGCCTACTGTATGCAGGAGAATACAGTAAAATAAGGTTACTGGGCTGGTAGTCACTGAACACCATGTCACTTCCTGTCAGTTTGGTCACATCTGACAATGAATCCATCACTTTATGGTGACTCTGTTTCAATGCAGTTTATAAAATAGGAGGCCTGTAGTATGTGGCGATTACACATATACTATTCTTCTTTTGGAATACTTTCACAGCATGAGCGTTTTCAACTGAGAGGAAACATCATCTATTTTAATCACTAAGACATACGCAGCCAATAATTGTTGAGTAATTGTAGATAATTGTGCCAAATTATTTGCCTAAATGTACTAAATTATTTACAAATGGTAGAGAGAGAGAAATGTTCTTTTTTCATGTGTCGAAGTAAAAAGATGCTGTTAAGAAAGTACTTTGAGAATACAGCCAAAGCTACTGAGCTCAGACGATGCGATGAAATGAGAAAACAACAAAGATAATGTTATGAAAACATGATAACGCCTGTAGTTATTACACTTCATTAGGACCTGTCTACTCTTGATTTATGTTTTATATTAAGATTTAATAATTCAGTCAGAGCCATCATCATACTGATCCTGGACAGATGTAATTAAAAAAACAAATTCATTAAAACTAAAAATAAAAAGTGTATTTGCCTACAAACAAGACCTCATGGGCATTGTCACATGGTTTCAATTAATTTAAGATCGCAGTAGCCAAAAAACACCACAAGGTGGCGCCAATACTGCTCTACAGATAATACAGATTAATAAAGACTGATTTATATTAGCCTACCGATCTTGAGATATTAATTAATACATAGAAATGATGATGATTAGTCCCATTGAGATATTTTACTTTTCAGTGAAGCCTTTTATAAAAACGGACATCTGGAAAGAAGAAAATATGCATATCAAGAGATTTAGGATAAAAATTAAATGAATAATATTACATTAATGCCTTAGGTGAATATAAAGACGGACTGCTTGTGAAAAGAAATCTTTATTCTGTATTAAGTGTGCAGTTTGATGATCTAAACGTCATAAATAAAATGTTTATCTGGAAGCCAGTGTAGTAGTATGACTATTAAAGGTTCAGCACACACTCTGTGTAACCTCTAATAACATTTACTAGATGGCTCGGTGTTCTCGCCTGCCTTTATACTGCATCATTTATTCATAACTGTGCGTGTTTCTTTCCCTCATGAGTGGAAATCACAGAGGTCATGACCCTGCGGAGCTGTGATGTAACACAATCTAACAGCTGAGATGACATAACAGGCTCCTGACAGGAAGCTGGTAGTAAATTATTATTGGTTCAACGCCATCATTTTTCTTCCTGAGATGAAGACATCATATTAAACAACATTAATACGTTTATTAAAATTAAACTGTTTTTGAAACCAACATGAATGTTATAGATGAAACTATTTGTGCCGAACCATTTGAGAAACGACAATCTATGAGATGAATGAAAGGTTGTGGAAAAGTAACTAAATACAGTCCATACTTTGTAGGCTATGGAAGCCTGAAACAGACACGCATTCCTTTTTTTTTCACTTTTTCCGGGATGAACCTTTCATTCATCTCGACTCAGGGTATTATCTTGTTCTTGAAAAAATACCTTTCCACAAACCTTCCAAGCAAACAGGAAACAACTTCAAATAACTCGTTATCATGGAAAAATCTGCTGATGATGTATGAATGCATGTCCACTTAGGACTTCCCTAACAGTGACTATATTTTAATTTAATAGAATAGTTAATAAGCTAAATTATCACTAAATCTGCATGAACGTAAATTACTGAAATAGTATTACACATATGTAACACTATTTCTATTATTTTGAACATTTATTTGGGTAACCTGAGTTACCCAGTCTACCGACCCACAAAATGTGAAATAAACCCACCCTGTCCTTTGTTTGTTGTCGGCATAAGTCTTACAACACAGAGAAAAGGGATTCTTGTAAAAAAAATAATACCCTCCCCTGCCCTGGTATCTCCACCCATGGACTCCACCCCAGCCTAGGGCAAAACTTTTGCGTAGGTCTCCCATTTGTATTGTTGCTACAGAGAAGTGATGTCTACTGGGAAAACTCAGGGAGGCTCATTGCATTTAAAGAGACACACACACCAAAACGGAGCGTTCTGAGAGAGCTGGTTTATTCAGGGTCACAAACCTCCTCTAGTGCTTGATTCATGTTATATTTTGACCAAAGCACAGCACTGATGATTAATTCAGACCACAGGAGAGTGTTTGAAAAGGTGGAAAAGGGGTATAATATTCCTATTTAACTTAAAATATTTTGAATGTATTATGTTGATTTGAAAATGATACTCTCTCTGAACTCAAAATGTTTTAAGGAGTCATCATCTCCACATTTTCATAAACTTTTGAACAAGGATCATTGCAGCTAACTAGCAACATAAATTAGCTGTATCACACTGAAACTCATTGACTACTACACTTGTCTGACTTGTTACCCAGACATGACCTGAGAGATTAGACGTTTCTAGAGCCACACAGGAGACAGACAGTGTGTAAATGGCTATGATCCCCGCTGTCTCTGATTCACTAATCCCTGTTAAAAGTTGCATTAGAGCAGCTGAAGGAGGGATTGCTACCTGCTGAGAGGGGCTTTTTCGAGATGGTTTGGTCAACACAGAATTAAAAAGTGATTTCCAGGGGTCGCCGTACGTCCAAGACTCCTTGAATCACTGAAAGAAGATTAAACTCTGCCCAACTGAGTAAATCACGTAATCTGATAGTGTTGCTAAAATGAGGTGTGACCGCCTTTCAAGATCAGTCTGGGCCCAGTGTACAAGACTCAGTAAGTTACTAGTGGTTAAGTTCACAGTATGACCAATATTATATCTTTATATGTAGCAGGTGAATTTTTCTGGTAAAGTTCTTTGATTTAGGCTTATATTTGAGCCCCTTGGTACTTATTTTGCTTATCTAAATGAGCCAAAAGGCTTAATTGAGAAAAATACCCAGAAGATATCTCCAGAGACAGAATTAAACTTTTGATGAACTGTGAGGGTGAATAATGGTTCAAAGATTGGCTCAAATTTTGGCTCCTAAGATGACTGGTTCTCATAGACTCCAATTATGTGTTCCCACTTTCAATAAAAGCAATTACAGCTGCAGTGACTGAATACTCATGGAGGATCTCAGTGATGGTCAAAGCTTCTTTTGTGCTGCCATTTTTCCAAGTCATTGAGAAAAAAGAATTTCAAACCACTTGTGTCAAACAGCCTCTTAACTAAAACAGTATAAAACATTTTTTATCTTGACCAATGTTCCTATGGCTCTTTAATTGGTCAAAGAAAAATTCTGAAGAGTGATCAAAGCTGCCAAAGGTCAACGTGACCCCACAGTCAGAAAATAGTTGATATTACAAAGTGATGGTTTATTGTTGGGATACCAACATGTCAGTCTCCAAATCGTTTTAAGTGATAACCACTGTAAAAACTTAATATGGCTTATTCTAACTGTGTACTTTTTTTCAGGACACCAAGATACCAGGACAAAGATTACAATCTAATATTACAAATATGACACTCCCTGTTTAGATAAGCTAACAAGTACACCATATCCCGTACTGTGTGGGCTACAATCATGTGCTTCTTTATCATGTTTCTGGAGGAATTCAATCTATGAAGCTCCTTAAATTACACATCTATTGAAGCGTGGGATAGCCTGGCAGGGATGTACAGAGTCTTTGAAGCGGATGGCCAGGGTTTAACACTCACTTTGTTGCATGTCATTCCCTACTCCCTTATTCCTACTATCCACTTTCTCTACAATGCAGGCAAAAAATCTTAAAGCATCCATCAGCTTGAAATAGAACTATGAACTCGTCTATGCACCTTTAGCTTCTCTGTAAACTGAAATATGTCTTTTTACACATTTTATTTGACAATAATTCAAAGATAACTTCATAGTGAATGATTAGAACGCGTGTGACCGTCCAACAAGCTCAAGGTTAAAGTCTTCAGTCACAGCAGTATAAGTCACAAGAGGCT